CCCAGGAGGGCAGGCAGGTGTCTTTTGTTCTCCGTTGTAGTCTCAGTGCCTAGCATAGTTTGCTGCCACACAGGAGGGTTCCAAGAAGTCCTTCCAGAGTGGGCAACACTGCCCCCCTTCAACACCAGGCAGGAACTGTCCGCGGTGCTGATAACAGGAAGTGTCCCATGCTTCAGTGGCAAGGCAGGCCTGGCATCCCGATGGTGAACTGTGAGTGTATTTTCTTCCTGCCTCTGAACAGAGCTCCATGTCTGGTGGGACACACTGTTCCCAGGATTTCCAGCCATATGTGCAGCACTGCTGCCTCTGGGATCTGGAATGTTCCCCACAGTGCATGCATGGGAAGCTTGGTGCACAGCCTGTAGCACTATCAGGAGGTGGTGGAACCTACAGAAGCTGGGATCTACTGAAAGAAAGTCAGGCAGGTCACTGGGCCATGCCCTCAAGGGAATATTGGAACCACAACCTCTTCTTGCCTCTGCATCCTGGCTATCACAAGATGGCAGCTTCTTCTCCATGCACTCCTGCCATGATGTGCTGCCCTGCCTCAGGCCCAAAGGCCAAGTGTCCATGAACTGAAAACTCTGAAACTTTGAGCCTTTTCCCTTAATAAGTTGACTTCTTCAAGTGTTGGGGCACTGTAGTGGTAAGCCGACTGATGCAAGCACTATTCTGTGCTTTCAGGTTCTGTTCCTTCTTTCCTCCACAGATGTCCTGGGGCATGGAGAGGGACCCTAAAGTTCTATTCTTCTGTGTCTCTAATGTACAGTGCCACAGCAGCACGTGCCTCTGCCAAATTAATGGCAATTTATGACAGTGGGGAATTGGCTCGTCTTTTCCTATAAATGTGGCCAAATGAGTCCCAAGTATCGATGCGGCTGGTATTGCAGTCCAGATTCACTTCTCAGCCTGGTTCCCACCCTTGGCCCTTGCTGATTCTCAGATGTGCTTCTGAGCTACTAGTTCTGGGCAATAAAGAGAGCAAGCACTCTGATCATATAGATTCCACATATTATCAGCCAGATATAAATATGACTAAGTCCCCCAGGAAAAGCAGCATGTGTTGGATCTCAAAGTGAAGCAGTGCTTCAGATTCTGTCCTGTTCTTCTCCAGGTGGCTGAAACCAAGCACCAGATTAGATACCATGGCACTGTGCCAGGGTCATGGCAAGTGCTCATGATTAGAAAGGTGTGCAGACAGTGGGAGGAGGCCCTGCCCAGGGTGCCCGGCTGGGGCTCTGGCTCCATTGCCTGGAAGGACATGTGTTGTTGATGCCTACTGGTTACGCTCTGCCCATGGTCTGCAGAGTCACTTTTAAGACCTCCTCTGGCCACGTTGGAAGCCACCGAGGAGCTAAGGGAGCACTAAGCAGCCACTTCTGCTCAGGGCTCTGGGAAGCTCTGCAGCTCACTGCAGGGCAGCCTGCAACCCTGGGCCCAGGCCACTGCTGCCCTTGTTCTAGATGTGGTGCCCGCTGCTCTTCCCAGCCTTGGGCCTGGCTTCTCCATAACAGAGTCACAACATGGCAAGGGAGGCTGCAGTCCCACTATATGGTGCATTTCCCACATAGGTTGTGCTCACTCCCTCTGCCCCAGCACCTTCCTGAGGAAGACTTGGTGGTGAGGAGTGGCTTTGTCTAGAGTCGCTGATGCTCAAAACAGGGCCTGGCATCCAGCAGTTCCTTGGGCTCCACAGTGCCAGTGTGTAGCAGGTGGCAGGGCTGTCCTGTGGCTAAGGGAGGCCGTGGCAGTGGGCACAGCAGGGCCTGGCCATAGCAACTATGCAATAGCAGTTTTCTCTGCCCAGTTTACTCTGCTGCCTTTGAGGCTAAGGAGCTGGCTCCTGGCTGTAAGTCCATTGGACTTTTGTCACAAGAAATGGCTACATGCTAGCAAAAATCACGGTCATGGATTCCCTTGAGCATAGTCATTCTGTCCATGTGGCTGCTGGGTTCTCTGGCAGCATCACAAACAGTGGCAGAGACCAAGTGCATTACTTTCCGTCCAGGAGCTAGTGTCAGCTGGGGAGACAGCACATCTTCCTGCCCCCTACATGGCTCCCGGTGGGCTAGGGGAGGGGACCAGACTTCTCAGGGTTTGGGTAAGAGCAAGCCCAGCCCAAAAAGACTCCTACCATGAATTCCAAAATAATAGGCATGGTTTCTGCTGGCTCTGCTGCTGGATGGCACCTTCAGTGCCCGGTAAACGTTAGCTGATTGCCTGGTTGTGGAATGTGTGTGTCTGAGCTTTTTGCCTATCTTTCACTGGGAGGTGGACCACAGAGGCATCAGAACAGAGTCCATCCACTGAAGCTGGCAGTGAGGAGACCACATGTCCTCAGCAGGTCAGGCTGGTCCTGGAAGCCACAGGATAGGAGCCAAGAATCTGGCTAGCGTGTGACAACCCTAGGACCACAGTAGACTAGGGTGCCCCTGGTAGGCCTGTCCTCAGGAGCAAGGTATCCAGGGCAGGGTCATTCAAGAACCCCGGTAGACAGGGAGTGGGGGTCACGAAAAGTCTATCTTCAGAGAGATGGCCTCAAAGCCAGCCTGGGAATGGGATTTGCAAGAGCAAGACAGTTCCACACTATATAGGACCTGGGAGAAGATGGATGAAGACAGGAGATCAAGGCAGAAAAGATGCCCAGTGCCCATAATAGGTGCCAGGCCAGATTCTGTGCTAGGGGAGCACAGCAGGGAGGGCATCTTTGTCTGCTTCCTATTGCTATAACAGGACCTCTGAGGCTGGGTCATCTACAAGGAAAGGCATTTCTTTCGGATCACCGTTCTGGAGACTGTGGTGTCCAAGAGTGCAGCAACAGTGAGGGCTACAGGCAGGCCGGGGTTGCAGAGGGGAGGAGCACAGGCAGCCGCTCCCTTGGTAAGCACCAGCTCTTAGCGACTGACCAAGACTTCGTGTGAGAAAGGTGTTAGCCCGTGTAGGAGGTTTCATCCCCGAGCCAGCACCTCCCACCTCGGGACAAAACCCCAACAGGAGCCTTGCTGGCGACAGAGCCTCAGCTCATCACAGCAGATGGGCTACACTGTCCCACTAATTCCATGGCCCCCCTGCTGTCTGGAGCCTGGTGGGGCCCACAGGGTGCTGAGGACCAAGAGGGGAGAGGAAGGGTGCAGAGACCATGGATGAGACAGGGCCTGCGAAGCCTCGTCTGTGCCCGTGGGTCCATGTGGCTGAGTCTCCTGAGAGCGGACACGGGTGGCTCTTGTGAGAGTGAAGGGGATACGGGCCTCTCCTGGAGCAGACAGAAGGGGCTAGAGCCTGGAGCTCCCATGAGGCTCATGGCCCATTGTGTGGGAGTCCAGTAGTGCTGGCCTCTGCCTCTCCCCAGCTCCCACATCCAGTTGTGGCCAATGCTGCTCTTGGATCCTGTGGTCTGGGGCAGGATGGACTTCGGAATGCCTGGAGCAGCCCATGTACAGAAGGGCCCAGAAAGTCACAACAGAGGCGTGTGGCTGTGTGGTGGGGAGATGAGTGGGACAAGGGACAGAGGGCTGATGAGAGGAAGCCCTGAGGGGCTTCATGGTCTCCAAAATAGACAGCTGGGGGAAAGAAGGGATTCTGAAGGGAAGCGGTCTCTGCAGCATCTCCGTTGTGCTGGCGCTTCCTTCCCTACACGCATCGGAGCATGTGCAAAGCAGGTCCTGCTTATTTCCTGCCGTATCAGTTCCCTCAGGTTCCCCGGAGGGGAGGCAGCTGTGGAACTGCTTCTTCTTGTCTTTCAGGTGTCACTTCTGCAGCCCAGGAGCGGCATTGGGGGAGCGGACAAGAGCCAGGCAACTCCAGAAAGCTCAAGACTGTGGCAAGGGGAGCCCTTGGGGTGCTCCTCCCGCCTGCTGGTGGGAGCGGGTGGAGTGGTGTTTGGGACACCTGCAGTCTGCAAATTCTAGCGCACCCGAAGCAAGGCACCCATCTCCTCTGTGGCTCCCGCAATCTGGGCTTTTGTGCCACAGGGTGGAACCCCCGCTTGGAGCCGAGCCTTGCTGTGGACCAGATACAGGGGCTCTGGGCCACAGTGGGGACCCACTCATGGATGTGCTTCGAGTGCCCTTAGAGGAAGCATCTTCTGACACACTCGCCTTTGATCCCTCTTAAGTTTCTCTTAACTATAACAAAAAAGCCTGAAGTCATTTTCACTGTACTCTTTACCAGGCAGAGTCCCACCCTCAGGATTCAGGGCTCAGAATGATTGGAACTGGGGTTGAGGCCCCGACCTCCTCGCCTCACCTGCACTGCTTTCCTTCATGGCACTAACACTGACCATATCTAACTCCAGGGCTCTGGGAAGCTGGCACCACCCCAGACACCACAGGCTTCTGTTTTCCCTCCAGGGCCTCTCCCATGCACAGCCGAGCTTGCCTTCTTTGCCTCCAGTCCCATCGCCACCCCGACCACTGTCCCTGAACGGCCCACCTTCCTCCCCAGCCGCGGACATCTCTCCAAGAGGAAATGGCACAATGAGACTGATGGTCTGAGGCTAAGGACAACCTATGAACAAACCAACACAGAGCACTGGACTGAGCCTGAATGACCACAGCACCACGTTTTCATCTGCTGGACGTTTCCCGACAGATCTTGGCTCCACCGTCTCGCAGTCTGGAGCATTCTGCCCCTCCCACAGTTTCAGTACCCTCTTCTCTCCCCAAGGAAGGCACTCAGAAATCTGCAGAAAGGATGCTCTTGGGCTGGGGTTTTAGCTCAGTGGCTCCACTGCCTGCATCGCAAGTGCGAGGATCTGAGTTCCATCCCCAATACCAAAAAAAGAAAGAAAGAAAGAAAGAAAGAAAGAAAGAAAGAAAGAAAGAAAGAAAGAAAGAAAGAAAGAACACTGGAGCCAGCCCAGCCCACCAGCTGCTCTTACCAGGGAGTGCACCACCAGGGAGTACTGCTAACACAGTACCCTCTGACTTCGATCCCACAGTGGGCTTTGACTGCCCTGCATCCAGCCCTCTCCCTCCAGGACCCCAGGACACAGACAGCCGTGCTTCGTTCTCAGGTCTGTTTATTGAGTGCCCACGGAATCTGTGGTGCTAATGCTCAGGGTTCAGAGCCACGGTCTAGTCAAAAGGTGACCAGAGAGAGTACAGAGAATGCTTCATAGCTGCATGACATCTGTCCAGGGACAGGGAAGGAGGGGACTAGTCACAAAACAAATTCCTATTCAAAAGCAACAGACTCTTCTCTGAGAGTAATATATTTCCCACGCGCACAGGCACACGCCCTCTGAATGCACCCACCTGGTGTATATGCATATACAGGCATCCGTGGGCAAATGAACTGCTATAAATGCTTATGCACGCTCACGCACACGCACACCACTGCACAGACAATCTGGCTATGCTATCAAAGACACTGTGTCTCCATGTTCTAGTAGAAGCGATCTGTCCTAGATGCCTGCAGCATGCAAAACGTGGGACATCCGAGAGTCACAGTCGAGGATGGGGACACAAGGGTACTTCTCCGTCCTTGGGCCCCAGCCACAGGTTGCTCTCTGCTGGCAACAACGAACCCTTCATGAAGGGGTCCCGGAACGGGGTGGAGGAGCTGGAGCTTGCTGCTCAGGGCCGAGCCGCGAAGAGCCCCTGTGAGTTCACCAATCTTCAGGGCAGAGTCGAAGCTCTGTTTTCAAGTGCAGAGTCCTGCAAGCAGCATTCCTGGGGGCAGCGTGGAGGTCCGGGTGAGAGCTCCTTTCCTCACTCACTCTCTGTGGCTCCCCACGGTGCTAACGCATTTTGTAGTCATTAGATACAGATGTTTCGCACAGCTGTCCCTTAAAATCCAAGTCTACTGTGAAGTCCAGGTCTCGCTACACAGAGAGCAGAAGGTCAGAGAGTGAGTCTGGGCAGGAAGCCGCCCAGGCACAAGCTTCTTCTTGGCCCTCGCAAGGGCAGACAGGGGGCTCGCAAGTGTTTCTAGCTAAGGTGTCACGGTGCTGAGCCCTCGGGATCTATGCTGGTGTGTCCCATTCATCCCAACCCTCCCTGAGCTGGTGTAACACGTCCTCTCAGATTTCACATTGGGATAAAGGAGCACGAGTCTTGTGACCTCACTCCCAAGCCCTCTGATTTTAATGCACTGCCCACAACTGGCCCTGCTTAGAAGAATCAGACTCCGCCCACCAGGTCAGCCAAAGCAATGTGAACAGAACTTCTCCCAGGCCCACAGAAACTGCGATTTCCAGGCCCCGCTCATCCTAAAGGAGGTCGAGGCCACTTATTTGGCAGTACCCGTTTGCCACACCCCCTCACCTGTCCAGCTCAGGAGTCCAGAGGGAGATCTGGAGAAAGCCTCTAACTGCTAGGTATGCAGGGTCCAGGCTCGAGCCGCCTGCAAAGGCAGAGCCCCACTGCCCATGGGAAGGTTTCTGGCTGCACACGACACTGGCACCAGGCCAGGGTTCTTAGGGACTCGTGAGGACTGGCTCCACGGGCCCTTCCCCTCAGTGACCGGCCACATAGGGTCCTCGGCACTCACCACATTTTTGGCATTGGGCTTCATGGATATGGTTCCGTAGATTTCCTCCCCTCTCCGGACAGTGAGGTAATCTTCTAAGTAGAAGACAGTCTGCTTCCAGTGGGTGTAGGGAGCATCTGGGGCTGAAGGGCGACATTGGGGAGGAGAAAGGAGTCAGAGACAGAGGTGTCCACACAGAGTCCACATGGAGGTGCTCGGCGTCCCCACACACTCTTGTGGGGTCCCGGCCCAGCTCAGCCCAATCCCTCTCCCCCAAACATCTGCACCCCTCGGAGCTGCTGATCTCAGTGAGGCACCAAAGAGAAGCAGGCTGGTATTACACGTTCATACCAGTGGCACCAGTGACTCACGATGTTCCTGCTTTGGTTAGCCCAACAGAGCAGGATTTCAGTCAGTATGGAAAGATTTACAGAGCAGGCCATCTATCTCTTCTCAGGTAGGGTTGGTCTCATTTATGCAGACTCCACAGGTAAGCCAGGGTTCCAGTTCCCCTGGCCTCCTGCTCTTCCATCCTACAAATAGGTTTCTGTGCCTGTTGCTGTGTCCTGCATCAGAGCCCTGCACCCTGGCCAAGCTTGCTGTGGGCATGCGACAGTGCCTGCCTAACTGGATCAGAAAGGAAGGTGGTGACACTCGTTCCACAGGCCACTCCTCCTGCAGGATCCACGGCCCGGTGATGCTTGCGCCTCCCTATGTTTTCCATTGGAGCCCATGGGTCGCAGCTATGTGTGAGAGGCCCTGCCTTCAGCCACCCTCCTCCTCTTTGGCCACTCTTCCCCTCCCTCTTCACTAGCTTCTCTCTTCCGCAGCCCTTGAGGTCAGCCCTCCCTGGCTACCTGAACCTGGATTAGGGCCCCTTGGCTCTGTCGCCATGATGTTCAGCCACAGTACAAACGCCTCCTGCACCACTCGTTTCCAACCTCCACCAGTACACGGGGCCAGGGGCTCTGCATCTCAGCGCCTGCTACAGAATTTGATTGGACACATGGATGACAGCAAGAACCCAAAGAGCAGACACCTCATGGTGCCTCAGTGTCCCCATACAAGCTGCATTACACTGGGGCTTTTGGACTTTGGACTGTGGGAGAACAAACTTCACACTTGGCTGCTCCCGGCCCAGACTCTAACCTTCCCCCACCAGAGCATCCTCTGCTTAGGACCAGTGCTAAAGACGACACAACACTGAGGCGATGTGACAAGAACCTTTCAAATCCATCAACAGAAAGACTTCTATGTGGCTTCAGGGGCAGAGCAAAGCTGGGTCACTGGGACTTACGAGAGGCCATTTTCAACTCACCAGGAAGAACCGGAGCTACATCCTAGTCCTATGGGCTCCCATGGCCCATCCCATTCCAAGTGAGCACAGGTGTCATGCACAGAGTCCGGCCAGGTGACCTCTAAGATCTTCCAAAGCGCCAAGATCCGTATTAATTGGGGTGAAGACTGCCCTTTTTGCACTTTGCAGTGGACTGGCTTGGTCAAATGTTTTCAGTGTGTGCCTCTGGAATCAGCACACACTCAAGATCATGGGGACAATGCACAGCCTGTGCCCTGTAAGGAAGGGAGGACTGCGAACGTGCAGGTTGTACCTACTGGCCTCCCTGGCTTCCAAGGTACACTGCTGCCTGCAGGCAAAGTCCTCTTGCTTCCCGTGTGCCTTGTGCCAGCCACCTCTAAATAAGCTGTAGAAAAACAGCTTCCGGTTGTGTGTGGTGAATGCCAGTGTGGGGCTGACAGCACTCTTTCCCCCTTCCACTTACACTGGCTCAGACAGGTCTCTCCCTTCCTGAAGACCTGCCTGCAAGGGACTCACATGGCCTCCTCTGTCATCCAGCTCAGCCCTGCTGGCAGGCAAGCCCAGCCCTGCTGGCCGGCAAGCCCAGGAGCCTCACTCCAGTGGTGGCCCCCAAATCCTGCCAGCTCTGCACTGTAGAAAAACATCTGTGTTTCCTTAATATAAACACCAAAGGTGAAGAACTTCCCAAACACCAGTGTCTGTCAAGGATCATTGACCTCAGACTGATGGTTGAATCAGTGTCTCAATCTTAGCTCTTAGTGCATACTCCAATTTGCATTTTTGACTGTACTCTAAGTGACTGGAATGCAGTAATTCTGGAAAGTGGACAGATGTGTGAGACGTAGCCTCTCCCAGCGGGCAGTGAGGCACACAGTGCTGGCTGGAGTCCCGAGCATCCTTCTGCTAAGGGGAGGGCAGTAGAAAGACCCTTTTTAGGCACCAGTGAACCCAGCTTGCAGTCTCTACCTTGCCACAGACTTGCACGGTGGCCCTGGGTTTGGGCTCTCTGGCTGCAGATCCCCCTAAGGAACTGAGTGAGCATGAGCTGAGAGGGGAGGGGAAAGGTCTGAGGGTGACCAAACTTCCGGTTGTGCCTGGAGCAGTTCCAGTTTACTTCCTTCTCCTCACATATGTCTTAGCAGCTCTCCCTTTTACTTGTAGTGTCCTTGAACTGACGGGTTAAATTATGCGGTCCCTGTTCCATGTTAGGGTCCCCGTACCCACGTTAGGGTACTGTATGCCACTTCATCCAGTTGTCCATTCATCATTATGTACAGTGTCATACAGTTGTATTCACCCATGCACTATGACTCCAGCCCGCAAAGGTAAGCCGACTCTCTGATTGTCGGGTGTCACTACACCCAGGGTGAGCAGCTGGCGCAGGACTACAGATTCCATCCAAAGCTCTGCTGTTCTGCAACCGGATGAGCACACCTCCCCTACAGCTCTAACGGACTGGGCAGAGTCAGGTAAGCAGTGATAAATATGGGATGGTGGGAGTTTGGGTCAGGGGTGTGGGTGGGAACACACAGAAAGCTATGGGGATGAATGGCAGGAGCCGCCTCAAAGATTTTCCTGGTGCTTTTGGAAATGGAATCTTGCTTCCTGTTTCACTTCCCAGTGGCTAAGTGGCTGATAGTTCTTTCTGGGATATAATAACTTTTCAAAGCTATAATTTTGAAATTCTGTTCTCTAGAGGGTCTGCAAGCCTTTTGAAGAATTAAAGACTATATACCAAGAAACATCTTTGAAGCTGGGCATGATGATGCATGCCTATAATCTCAGCATTTTGGGAGGCTGAGGCAAGAGGATCATCATGAGTTTGAGGCCAGCCTGAGTTACATAGTGAGTCCAAGGCCAGCCTGATCTACACAGTGAGACCATGCCTCAAAAAAAAAAAAAAAAAAAATCCACCACCAACCAACAAAC